CTGGTTCTTTTATTAATGATAGCTATTTCTTTGCTGAATTTCTCATTCAGATCATGAAGTGATTCACTGACTTGTCTATTGATAGTCTTTTGCATATTGTTGTCTTAAGATCATTATTTTCAATTCTTTTTTGAGCAATTTATAAATTTCCACTTCTTTGGAATCAGTTATGGCGGAAATGAACTCTTAGGTATTTGCTTTTCCACATTTCTTTTGTTTCTGCGTTTAAGTCTGTGTATCAAGTTGTGCAGTCACTTCTTCCAAATTTTAGAGTGGCTAATGTGGGGAAGAATTTACCTACAGATGGGCCTGAGGTTATCAGCAAGGCAGGATGTGACGGCTGTGGTTCCATGTGGGTGAAGTGGTATAGTGCCTGCACAACTTCTTCCAATGTGGTCAGCTGGCCATGACTGCAGGTGTCTCAGTGGTCTAGGAAAAGTTTTATTAGGGAGTCTCTTGTTCCGGTCTTCCTCACAGTAGGGAATCTTAGCCCTAGAAATGTCTCTTTGTGCTGCATTTGACCATATCATAGGTAGCTACAGTGGCACTGGGATCTAGGACACAAGTGCTTGGTGTGGCCATGGAGTCAGGATCCTGAGCTGTGTTGTCAAACTACTGTGGCACTGGAAGTTTTTGTCCTTCGATCTCCCATAAGCCAGCGTCCATTAGTCTGAAGTGCAACTCAGGTCCAAGTGTTTGCGATACATTCTTGGTTCTGACCTGAGTGGCAGGGCACAACACTAGTAAGCTCCAAAAAGGAAGGTGTGCTCTAGAGGCCAGGGCAGAGCTCAAAGAGGGCACAGAGGCAGCTTGGGTTCTGAGGGATGAGACAGCATGTAGTCAAGACTGCACTTTGGGATAGTGGGATGCAGTAGCCCAGGCTCTGTGAGAACAGGTAGAACAGGAACAAGGACCCAGAATTGGAAAGATGCACCTTAGTTTGGGGACTTGGGGGGTCAGGGTGCAGTGCAGCAATGAAAGTACTCCCCAAGGAGATGGGGTGCCTCAAAAATTCAGATTGTAACCCATTCTAATTCTAGGTAGGTAGGGTGATGTGGCTGAGGTAAGCTGGCAGCATTCAAACAAGGCTCTGATTTCTAGGGGTGCTGAGGCATTGGTTCTACTCAGCACCAGAAAGCATGGCTACATGGGTCAGTGGAGTACATGGATCCCTGGGGGTGGGGGGCACATTTGTACTGGAATGTACAAATACTCTTCTCTCATATACCAGCTGCGTGGAGCTCCTGAGACCTGCTTCAATTGTGGTAAACAGGAGAGTTTCCAAAATATGCAGGTAGCCTGTGGTCACTCAGGATGGGGTGCCACATCATCACTCTGGGGCTGGAGGTATCATTACAGATACTGGCTTGTAGGTTTTTTTCTTGTAATTTCTTGTTTGGGTTTGATGTCAGGGTAATGCTGGCTTTTAAAATGAGTTTTGAACTGCTGCCTTCTTTTCAGTTTTTGAAAGAGTGAGAATGATTAGTATTTTCTTTTGCTTGAAAAGTGTGCTTAATTTCTGCAGATATGATGCAGTGTGAATACAAACATAAGCTTTTACCATGCATCCAAAAACTGAAACACATCTACACAGATATAGCCCCAAAGCTTATTTCTTGGAAAAAAAAAAATAAAGAAAATTCTGAGTTAATTAAAACTATTCTATCTTCAGTGTAAAAATTCAGGAGGTAAATGAAGTTTGTTAAAAGTTTGGTAGAGGGCTGGGGATATATAGCTCAGTGGCACAGCACCCACCTGGCAAGAGCAAGGTCCTGAGCTCAACTCCCAATACCGAAAAAAAAAAAAAGTTTGGTAGAACTTCACAGTGAAACCATCATGTTCTGGGCTTTTTTTTTTTTTTTTTTTTTTTTTTTTTTTTCTTTCTTGGATGAAAGACCTTTTATTACTGATTCAATTACCTTACTTTTTCTAGGTCTGTTCAGATTTTCTATCTGTTTGTCTTGCAGTCTTGGTAGGATGTGTGCGTCTAGGAATTTATCCATTTCCTCAAAGTTATCTAATTTGTTGCTGTATAACTGTATTAGTCTCATAGAATCCTTTCTATTTCTGTAGTAACCATTCAAAGTCTGCTTTCATTCCTAAAGTCTCTTTTCCTTTTTCTTAGTCTAATTATATGTCTGTAGATATTTTTTCCAAAAACAATCAGTTTTGTTGATCTTTCCTGTTTTTCCAGTCTGTTTCATTTATTTCAGGTCTGATCTTTATCATTTCCCTTCTTCTACAAACTTTGAGCTTAGGCTAGGCAAGTCACCTTACCTAGTTCCTTGAACTGTAACATTAAGTTGTTTTGTTTAGAATCTTTCTTAATTTTTGATGAGACATTTATTGCTGTAACTTTCCCTTTTAAAACAGGTCTTGCTGTGTTTGAGTTTTGTGCATTGAGACTCCATGGGTTGCTCTCAAGATACAGTACTTTAAAATTCCCTTTTAAATTTCTTCTTTGATCTACTGAGTTTTAAGGAGGATGCTGTTTAGTTTCCAAGCATTTGTGAATTTCACAAAACTCTTAAATTTTTTACTGAGCTGTACTGTACTTCATTTCTCAAAGTTTATCTTCAAGACAGTCCTCAGAATCGGATAAAATTTTGCCAGTGATTCCTCAGGCAGAGGAGTATATCTCCAACATATTTAACTCAAAAAATTAGGCCTCTCAAATAAAAGACCTGATTAAAAAAAACCAACCTGAGTAACTGAAATGAATAGATACTTCTCACAAAAAGTTCAAATAGCCAATAAATAACATAAAAAGTTCAATATCTCTGGTTATTACAGAAATGCAAATTAAAATAATACTGTGATTCCACCTTACTCTAGAAAGAATGGCTATCATCAAGAAATCAAATAACAGTTGATGAGGCTGCAAGGAGAAAGAAACCCTTCTACATGTAGGAATGTAGACTAGTACAACCACTACAGAAGTCAGTATGGACAGTCCTCAAAAAAAACCCAAGAAATTCCATTTAACTCAGTTATTCCCCTTCTAAGTATCATCCCATAAGAGTTAAAGACACCATATTACAGTAATATACGCATACCTATGTTTATAGCAGTACAATTCATAATAGCTAAATCTTGGAAATGTCCCTCAGCAGATGAATGGATAAATAAAATGTATTTATACACAACAGAGAACTACTCCACCATTATAATAATAACGATAAACTTGAGTCATTTATAGGAAAATGGATGCAACTTGAGATCATAATGTTAAATGAAATAATCAGACACACAAGCTTAAATATCATACAGTTTCTCTTACATGAGCAACTCCAATTATAAATAAAGGCAACTGTTATGGTTGATACATTGTGTCAACTTGGGGAGTCTAAAGGTTTGGCTAAGTGACTCAGCAGGAAGCCAGGGTGCTTACTTTGTACATATCCTGCACGTGTGGAAGAGGAGGGCATGGAAATTATGTAAGAGCTACACACCCCTTACATGGGGGTAGTCTGCTTACAACATAAGGTAGGGAAAAAGGCTTGCACACACTGCCATTCCCCTCTTTGCTCTTGTTGCTTTGTTATCTTCTGCCTTGGAGCCAGCCAAGTATGAACTGAAACCTCTACAAACTGTAAGGTAAATAAACCTTTCCTTCCTTCATTTTGTGCATTGGGTGTTTTGTCTCAGCAACAAGAGAAAAGTAACCAAGACAGCAACATAAAAGATAACAGGAAGTAGGGAGACAGATCTTTTTCAAATGGAAAAGAGATCAAGAGATGGAGGGAGAGAAGAAGGAGGAGAGGCAAAGGGAATGAAAAAGAATTGAGATGTTTTATGTACCTGTACCGACTTCTCACATGGAATGTAAATATTATGCAATGCAAACATGTACTAATAAGAAAAATGGCAAACAAATTTTAAAATAAAAAAACCCATAGCTTTTCAGGTAAAGTTTAAGATATCCAACATGAATTAGAGCAAGATTTCTTCATATTATAAATAACTGTAATTATGCAAACAATAGATCTATATAGTAATGTATTTAAGCAGTGTATTAAAGTTAAAATAAAGGCAATGGCATACACTTAAATCCTGGCTACTCAAGAGGCTGAGGCAGAAGGACTGCAAGTTCAATGCCAACCTGTGCAACTTGGCAAAACTTGTCTCAAACTAAAACAAAAAAAAAGAGGTGGCTCAATGTTAGAACACTTGCTTAGCATGCACTGAAGCTCTTGAGTTAAATGTCCATTACAGGGGTGGAAAAAGGTGGAAGACTTAACCACTTTCTTATAACCAATGGTAACCATGAAAAATCACTGTTACAAGTTTCTTATGTATCTTTCCTGAAATATTCTAGGTATATATAAGCTAGCGTTTATTTCTTCTTACTCCTACATGTGTGCCACCTATTATTGTTTTTTTCTTCACTTAGCAATATACCTTAACATTTCTAAAAGCTTATATATTTCTTTTGAATTGCTTAAACTTACTAGTTATTTTAGAAATATTCTACAATAAATATTTTTGTATTTGTCTGCATGTATATTTTGTCCACGTATATCCTTAGGTTATTTGTCTAGATTTTCAAAAAATTAAATGGAATATGCACTTAACATTTTGAGAAAGGATTGTCAATTTGCTCTCCAATACATAATTATAGAGATTTATACTCTGATGCATTTTTTGTTGAAGTAGATCACTGTGTTATTAGTGTTTGTATGAAATGCAACTATGCGGGAAAATGTTAACTTTTGAGACACTGGAGCACATATTAACAAGCCAAAGAAAGCATCTGCCATTAATCAAGCCTTTGTCTTTGTTATCTACAATAATTTAGACTATGGGCTTATCTGGAATGGCTGTAAAAGGCAAGCATAAAACTTCAAGACTGCACCTGATTTCAAGCATTTCCTCAAATACATTCTAAGTACCAAGATTTCCTAGCGGTATGATCACCCCCAATCTTCTGTATATAAAGGAAACAGTAACATGTTCAATTTGAGACATCAAAAAACATTCAAAATAGAAGCCATAAAATGTTATCTGTAGTTTAAAGGTGAAATTTATTAGATTGAGAGATGTATACATGGATTATTAATACCACACAGAAGACTTCATTCACAGTCAAACGCAGAGATATAGCCAGTCCAACCTATTTTGTGGATACTCTTGTTCTTTTGTTCCAAGAAAAGTTTGCACCGTAAGACTTGGACTTCGGTTTCGGAACTTTCCGCTCTTCAATGTCATAGCTCCATCCTAGATTTAAAAACAAGAAACAGGAACAGAATTAAAGAGGAAACCTGAAGAAAAACAGCAAGCAGAAGCTAACTTTTATAATTTAATGTTTATTTAACATCAAGAGTAAGTGCCAATATATTTAAAATAGAAATAATTTAGAAATTGGTTCCTTTATACAGTAATCCTATGTAGCAAGAGGATCCAGATGTTGCCTAAAGATGATTTAGCAGAGATCACATTAAAGGTGTAACTGATCATTTTATTTCTCCTTATTCAATATTCTTTGCTCAATTAGTAATGGTTATGTATTATTTAAACTTTAGATTTCTCTCTGTTGTTTGAACATGTGACTTCTTTAGTAACTATGATGTGGAACACTGAACAATACAGCTCATCTCACTGTTTAAAATCTATTGTCTTTACAACAGTTTGTAACTCATCCAAAACGAAAGAAGAAAATGCGTGTGGGTGTGGGTGATTAGACTGACCAATAGATCAGAATTTGACTAGACCATGAGAGATCACCTGGATCAGCCTTCCTACTGATTAAATTTTCAACATTTGTTTCAAGGGCTGTCTACATTAGTTAGAATCACATGGAATTACCTGATGACAATGCAGTTGCTTGGGCCTGACTAATGACCCAATGGATCACAATCTCTGTTGGGGGATTGAGAAACTGCACTTTATTTTTCTCTCAATTCCAGGAGAATTTTATGCATAGAAAATTAAGAACCACCAGTCAAAACCGTGTACTCTTTCTGGACAGTTTATCCTTTTTCTACAAGGCCTTTTTCAGTGTTTCATAATCTTGAAAACCTTCTCCTAAGATAAGGGGATCAGCTAAATCAGTACCCTCCTCCTTGAAAATATAATTAAGTTACCCTTGTATTCTTTAGACCAACCAACTCTGGTAATTTCCTTTTCTTCATAAGATTCATTTTCCCATCCCTGTAATTCATCATTCTCTCTCAGAATGTTCTTCAATTAGCTCATTTTGAAACATCTGGTTCCTGGTATTCAAGTATAAAACATCCACACTGAATGCTATAGATTGTAAATTAAGTGAGCTTCTTGATCTTGTAAGATCTAAAAAATTCTAATGTCCCTTAGTTGAAATTCAATTTTGCCACAAAAGACAGACCTATGAAACTCAAGTCATTAAAGAAAAATAAGCTAGGCAAAGTGATAATCCAAGCTACTCTGGAGACTGAGGGAGGGCTGCCAAGTTTGAAGCCACTCTGGAAAACTTGAGGAGACCCTGTTTCAAAAAACAGAATTTTAAAAAAGGTTCAGTGGTGGAGTGCTTGCCCTTCCTAGGCAAGGCGTGCTGGGTTCAATCCCCAGCACCACAAAAAAGGAACATAACATTTAATATAATACTTCAAATTATTCTTGTAGACAGGTGCCCAGCCCCCAAATTACTCTTTTAAGCTAATGTACCCATAGTAGGGCTTTACAGGGGCTGGGGATTTAGCTCAGTGGCACAGTGCCTGCCTGGCAAGTGCAAGGTCATGAGTTCAACTCCTGGTACCAGAAAAAAAAAAACCCAAAAAACCAAAAACCATATTAGGGCATTAAATTCCCATTGCTAGAAGTCCTTTCACCTTTAAAGAAACTCCCAACAGTTATAGAGAATGGGGAAGCAGGAAGGCAAATTAAACATCAGAATGTAAGAGAGAATATGCAGATTCAATTCACTTGTTCAATACAACCTTGTTTGCAGAGTAGAGAGAATGTTTTGGGTACATGACTTTTGATTAAAAAAATTACAAAGCTACAGCTTATTTTAAGACAGCCTGGATTTACAAAATAAGTGCATTAATAGTTACTTCTACCTGAAAAGTTTACGAAAAGGACAAGATAGGACTTACTTCATAAATTTGTCATGGAGATTAAACATATACACATAAAATGCTTAGAAAGCAACTAGCACTTAATCATTTATTGAGTTCTATAAGAAAGTTTTTTTTCTGTAAGTTTCACATAAATTAATATTACCTTTGTACAGATGAGTAAAACCAAGGGTCAGTGAAGCTGACTAGCATGAAGTCATTAAGCCAGGTAGGGGCATAATTAAGATTTTAACGGACAGGCTGATTTCGCAGTCTACGCTGTAACTATTTTGCTATACTGTCTCTTATGGTCTATAAACTGTTAAGCTATTCTCCCTAAAATTTGATCCACAACTTCCTAGCAAAACATGTTACAAATAAAGTGCAGATGTAAATCAATTTCCATCACATTGAAGCTCATCGAATTCAACTTTGCAATGCACTGGATATAGTGGCTACAATTTAATGTAGTTAATAATTATAGAAAAGTGTTCTGGTAGGCAATTTAATGGTGAAAACTGAGTATGATAAATTTAATATAAACTTTTCATGCACTTCCCACATTAATCAGCAAATGTTGATAATTATAAAAAACAATTCAATAAAGCAGGTATAACGTATTTGCTGCACATTTGCAATTCCCTTAATAATAATTGTCTACTCTGTATCAGGAACTGTTTGGAGACACTGAAGGAAAAGTAATGAATTAAAAAAAAAAAAAAAGTAATGAATAAAACAAAAATTTCCCCAACTTTTCTTACTCTGCTACTGAGCTACATTCCCAACCCCTTTTATTTATTGTATAAATTTTGAGAGAGGGTCTCAATAAATATCCAGGTAGGATGTGAATTTGTGATCCTCCTGCCTTAGCCTCTCTGTAAGTGCTGACATTACAGGCTTGCACCACCATGCCTGCCTCAAACTTCTTAGAATAGTGAAGAGAAACTACTAACTGCACAGTACACTAGGCGCTGATACAGTACCTAAAAGGAAAACATATATGCCAACGAGTACCAAAGAAGAAACACTTTAGACAAGGTAGATAAGAAAACCCTTTGTCCCCAAGTAGGTAACATTTAAGTGAAGATCTGAAGGAGTTCAGGGAGTAAGATGGTCATCCTGGAAAAGAGCTTCCAGGCAGAGAAACCCAACTACAAAGGCTCTGATCCAGGCAAGGACATGCCTGGTGTAGAGTGTTCTAGATTTTAGAGTGTTCTGTACTTGCAACATATTTTTAAAGAGGTGTTTTTCTTTCTTTCTTTTTTTCTTTTTGAGTTTATAGATTGCCTACCTTGTGAGGTAGGCATTATATATACATAATTTTATATTTGATTATGAGAAAAAATAAAGCGTAAAGGATAAAAAAGAGCAGGGCCAATAAGGGCTAAAGCCAGGTTGACTTTTAACCCACGCTGACTTCAAAGCTTTGCAACTACCTTATAATGAAAACTGAACTACTTTAAAAATATCTTGTACCTACAGTTTTTATTTTACCATTTCCTTTCAATCTGTGTGACTGGTAAACATTTTTTCCCTTTTATTTTTAAAAAAATATTTTGAAAAGACTCTTAAGTCCCCTACTGTGGCTGTATCTGGTCCCACTGCCTCTCAATACACTTTCCAATTCAATAAAGATATTAGGAGAGAAACTACAGGAGAAATGAGAAAGAATTATGAGCCAGATTATAGCTGCTGATGGTGATAACAATAAATAGAGTATTATGATATGGATTACAATGTGTGGGCAAACTCTGTGAAAAATAAAAATACACACGGAAGAAACCCTATTTGCTAAGAGCTCTGTATTATTACTCTGCCACAACCACCCAGGAATGTTACAGTGTTTTCTGTGGAAAACACCTTTGCTCCCCAAGCTGAGCAAAACAACTGTGCTTTGCTTTAGTAAAGCAAAGAAGAATATGAAGAATATGAAGTTTGATGCTAATTCTCAGTAGAGACTGAAACTAAAATAAGAGTATATAACTCTCTGGATTGTCTTTCCTCTTTCACAAAACATCTATTATGAGCTGTTATTACAATAACATTTGCTCCTTTTTGGGATACTGTGTAGAATCTGATTCTTTTTTTTTTTTTTGTCTTTTTGAGACAGGGTCTTGTCATGTAGTTCAGAGTGGCCTCACTATGTAGGCCACTACTCACTATGTAGCCCAGGCTGGCCTCAAATTTTCAGCAATCCTCCTGCCTTCGCCTCCTGAGTATTGGGATTACAGGCATGCACCACCACACCCGGCTCTGATCCTATTTCTAAGTGTTATACCTTACCTCCAAAGTGTTATTACCGTACAACGGTGGGAAGAGCAAATTTATTGGTCTCCTTATATTTGAATATAAAGGTAAGTAGAGTAAGCAGTGAACTGTAGCTAACAAGAGAAAATAACTAAACATGGATGTACTTAGTGCTAGGTAAGTTAAATGAATTATCCTCATCATTTCTATGTTCCATTTGAAATCTGTCTCTAAATAACTCAACTTGAATTTCTGAACGATATAATGGAAGTGAAAACACTATTACTCTCTGAAGAATGCTTATTATGTAAAATGAAGGTGTAGTCTATAACAATGGTTCCATGTATTGTCTTGTTAGGACACTGGAAAACTGCCCTTGCTTTTCCCAGCTACTCAACAGAAGATCAAAGCAACTGAGTCCAAGGCAGCAGTGCCAGCGCGGCCACACTTCCTGCTGATGTGAGTAGCCATATGGCATGGATTAGTCACAAATCTAACCACCAGCACCTACATGATGAGGAGCTGACCTCCTTCGCTGTTTCATTCACTGGAATGCTTTCACAAAAATACGTCAAACTTTAAGCTCTAGTAGAAGTATTAGGTAAATGCTGTAGTAAACTTAAAATGTGATCTTTATTATCCAACCCCTAATTTCTTTTTGAAGAAACACACCAATTTATTTTGTAGATCTCTACACTGTAGTTGGAATATTCTGTTTTCTAGGATATGACTAGTAGGTGAAATCTTTTCAGATGCCCCCCACCTAAAAAAAGAGTTCCTGAACAAAACCAGACCACAGTAACTTACGACTTCCATATATCAGAGAGAAAAAATTCTATTTATATTTATAGAACTGTTTCACTTATGATTTAGCAATGCAAAAAGAGAAAAATTAATGAGTTCTTTTATTGCTTGTGAAATGTTTTACCTCTAGTT